TTTTTTTTAACAAGAAAAATGTAACATCAGCTACTCTTATTAGAGTGAGGGAAGCCACAATACTGTACAGTTCTGGGGACAGGTAGCCCCGCACATTAATGGTTAAAACCAGTTATCAAATCCCAACAGCAAAAGGAAACTAGTCAGAAATTAACCACCATAACCTTTGTTTTATATATATAGATATATAGCTATACATCTTTCGAATACTCTGCGAATCCCAGTTTAAACAACAATAGTAACAGTAACAAAAGACAAACAGGCTTTATATTAAACACGTCCTCTGCACTTTGTGGTTACTTCTAAAGCAGCTTGAAGACACCTCACCACCTGGCGCGGGCTGCACGCTGACCCACTGAAATGATCTTGGCAGGATAGCAGCACAGGATTTGATATTCATGTGTATCACTTTTGACAATGTAAACCTTTCATAAAATAACGTTTTGCTAAAAAATTAGGATCATTCAAAGGTCTGATCATCCTGTTCCCTGAGGCCTGCCAGGAGGTCGGCAAATTGGATTGTCTCACACAGGACTGCCATGCTCATTCAAAGGCCGCCCGTCTCTTGACTTTGAGCTGTTCTGGGGGGTGGCGTTGCCAATCTGTTGTTTTTATCTGTGGCGTCATTGCTGTGCTGCCCTTGTCATCGACAGGATGGTGACTACAGTGATTTTCTTGGGCCGTCCATTCACACCCCATCTGGTTCTCTTGGTGCCCAGTGAGATGCATATTTCACGGCTGTCCAAGTCCATCCTGAGAGCAGACCTGGAACAGAATGACTCTCTCGGTAAGGCTAGGGGACATGTGTCAACAGGTACCTAATTCAGTTTCGCATTTCCCTATCTTTTATTACTGCCTATGATAAGTACTTAGAAACCGATGTCCTCACCACCCAGGAGGTGGTTGTTCATCTCCCGTTGGTTAAAATAGCAAGCGTCACTGTTTAAATACCTACCGGGTAAACTCGGGCTGGATGTTCATGCCACTGGTGGCAAATGCTTGACAATAACCTTGGGCCCCTGGCATTGCCGCACTGAGCGGAGGCTGTGCTGTGCTGATGTCTCTAGAGCCGACCCCACAAAGGCTTCCCATTGGGAACACGGGGTTCTTCACTGATGCACCATCGACACAAGGGATAGTCCCATTTGCTTCCATTGCATGCCCCACAGTTCAGGCTCCCCAGAAACCCCCTACTCTCGGACCCCATCTTAGGACTGCTTTAATGGTTTAAAAATCCTTCCTCCCTCTCATCTCCACAACTTTGTCCCACAATATCTATATTTTTAGATCCCTAAACGTTCCAAATCGATTAACAATAGAGATCTCATTGGAACCCATGGATCTGACAATGTAGAACTGTATTGCTTTAAAAAGTGTGTGACCACATTTGTCTGGGCAGCAAAAGACCCCACAGAATAAGATCAGAATAGAATTTCAGCTGACTCCTTAATTTCCCTAGCATGGCTGAAGTTTCAAGCCCTTCCTGTGTTTTCTCCGACAGAGGAGGTGTACATTACTCACCCTCAGTGATAAGCAAGCGTAAACACAGCACTGCCTCAGCAAGCTGACTGAGATGAGAGCTGAGGCTCAAGTTCACAAATGGCTCACTTTAGCAGAAGTCGAGTTACAAGCATAGACGGTCTGCCATTCTGCTCTGCCACAGGTGCTTGACGTCAACGTTGAACGTGTGTACAGGGGTCCTAGTGGCTTACACTAATCCCTGATTAGTATAGTATCTCTTAATTTACAGTCGCTTCCTTATTTCTTGCAGTGGACCGGGGTTGGGCCTTGAAATGGCCAACAGTAGACTTCCATTAATAAAAAGCACCTGGTGTCAGGTTAAGCTAACCCAAAGGTCCAAAAACCCCCAGGACACTCCATGGGAGAACGATGAGCCTGTTGGCGCTCTTAGAGATCTTGGGAAACCCTACGTGAGGGCACACTGAGTCACAATGGACCAGTGGGTTTCTGTTCATGAAGCCAACGTCTCATCTACAGGGAACGCCACTTACTATGGGCATGCTTTCAGGAGGGACCTGTCCCTGGAGAAAAGACATCTTGCTTGGTGAAGCAGAAAGCCCTCAGTGAGATAGACTGACCCAGTGGCTGCAACAATGGGCTCAAACCTAAGCACAGTGCACAGGGTGCAGGACCAAGCAGGGCTTCATTCTATTCTCCATCCGGTTGCTATGACTCGAACCAGCTTCAAGGTACCTAATGACAACATCTGACTGTGCAGGACTCCATGGGCGGGGGCAGAGAGAGGCGGGTGTGTTGCCTGAACTATTTGAAGGGGCTTTCTTCATTCTACACGTGACTTTCCTCCAACGTGCAAGCCTGCATGGGTTTTCAGGCTATCAATCCTCTGCAGTGTCATTCCCTGGGGACCGTGTCTCTCTGACTGCTTGGTCTTTCTTTGAGAGTGCTCACGCAGTGAGGTCTAGCGAGCACCAAGACCTTGAATGCTTTTTTCCTGCCCCTGCTAAGTTCTTTGTCAGAGCCCTTGACTCCAATTTAGAAAGCGCTAATGTCCTATTTCACCCCGGCCCTTGCCAGCACACTCGGCCTGTGTGTGGTACAGAGGACTCAATACTCAGGGGTGAATCCCTTCTGGATATGAAGCAGGTAGAAATGTTTCTCTGCTGTCAGGTCACACTACGATTGAGACAAGAAAAAAAAAGAAAGAAAGGAAGAGGGGAAATGACTAGTTGAGGCTTTTATATATACATTCATTGCTTCTAACATTTTTTTTTAACAAGAAAAATGTAACATCAGCTACTCTTATTAGAGTGAGGGAAGCCACAATACTGTACAGTTCTGGGGACAGGTAGCCCCGCACATTAATGGTTAAAACCAGTTATCAAATCCCAACAGCAAAAGGAAACTAGTCAGAAATTAACCACCATAACCTTTGTTTTATATATATAGATATATAGCTATACATCTTTCGAATACTCTGCGAATCCCAGTTTAAACAACAATAGTAACAGTAACAAAAGACAAACAGGCTTTATATTAAACACGTCCTCTGCACTTTGTGGTTACTTCTAAAGCAGCTTGAAGACACCTCACCACCTGGCGCGGGCTGCACGCTGACCCACTGAAATGATCTTGGCAGGATAGCAGCACAGGATTTGATATTCATGTGTATCACTTTTGACAATGTAAACCTTTCATAAAATAACGTTTTGCTAAAAAAATTAGGATCATTCAAAGGTCTGATCATCCTGTTCCCTGAGGCCTGCCAGGAGGTCTGACTTTATACCACGGGGTTCCTGCTCTCTCACTGGGGAACGTGAAGTGCCCTTGCATTTCAGGAAGGAGCCAAAGGGTGGCCACAGCGAAGGGCCATGGGGCTGGAGGGACGTGGGGCTCTCGATGGGGGTTAGGTTTTAGCAGGCTACCGAAAGCAATGGACTGTCTTAAAGTCAAACCATTCATAGCCAGATTTCAACCCTCTGATCACTTTCCATCTGGATTTTCAACTCATGAACGTGAAGCGTTTAACCAAACGTGTATGGGATCCTCATACAAAGCTGTTACATTTGGAATTGCCCAGGGATGGACGAGGGGTCCTTCAAGGAACAGGGTCAAAGGGACAACAGATGCACCCCTCAAGATAAACCATGGGCTGGCACGCAAGTGCAGGATGGAGCAGCCTGGTTGAAGCAAGGCTGCTCATGGGCCAAGATGCTCCTGGGTGCCTCCGTTTGTGGACCAAGACTCAGGTCATCTCACCTTCCTGGAAATGCTCTGGACGACCTGAGACCCAAATCTCAAATGATCATTTCTGCTCACAAATAGTGTGGCGGCCGTAACTAAATACAATTAAGAAAAATGATGAGATGCATGTATTTTTTTAAGCAGCTTTTGAAATATCAACCACAGCATTAAACATTGAACATATACATTCCCAGGTGAATACAGATATAAATGGTATACAATGCAATAATGCCACAAACTTATTTCATGTATGTCTCAAGGCTGACTCTAAACTTAAAAAAATAGCTTCGAGTACATTAACTGAATATTCCTTTCGCTACTTCTCTGTAATTTTCCACCATTTTTTTAATTGTTCCAAGATGTATAGATAAATCCCCAAATTCCACACCTGGTGCCCTTTTCCTTGTTTTGTTTTCCTGTAGGTTTTCAAATAAAACCAAAAGACAACGCTAAGATAATGCTTTACATTTTAAGTCCATAGACACGCCAATCCTTAACACCGCATGTCAACGCTTCCTTTAGGATTTATGACCTTCCCCCAAACCAGTTAAAGGCTTTCTGGAAACTGCAGCTCCTATGTGCCGTTCGTTCTGGCCCTCAGGCCACGTCTGTCCCCAGCATGCCCGACACCATCTCTCTTCCACTCGGTCCATTGGCAGCCCCTGCTGACACTTCCGGAAAAAGCTGTGACTCAGTTTCCCTCCACTATGATCCACTTCTCTGAGATAACTTCCCAGGTTGTTCCTTCAGAGTGTATCTTCAGCGGTCCTGTGGCATCCAGGTTCTGGTTCTGGGGGGAAACGGGCCCAACCTGAGAGCCAGCCCCGAGGCCAGCAGGCCCAGGCAGAGGCCAGCTATTGATACGTCTCCACAGCGGCGCTCTGAACTCCATCACTTTGCAGACTCTGGGAAGCCACATGGTCTGCGTGTGAAAGCCCTCTGGGAGGCCAGCGAGCGCCCAGGTTCCCTTCCCGGCCAAGGCCCTCTCTAGGCGGCCAGATGGGCCTGCAGGCTGCGGCCTCACTCTGGGAAAAGCAGGCACTTGTGGCAGCCTGATGCTTCTGGAAATTCTTGCCTTCCTCGCGCTGAAGAAGTCACCGATGCGCCCGCTTCCTTGCAGGCCAAAGGGTCCTGCTTCGTCCCAGGCGAAGCCTGCATGGGAGGGGCAGGTCCAAGCTAGAGGAATATACACATACACACCAGGGTTTAAGGTACTGGATGATATTGTATAAATTGCTAAAATGCTTCTCGGCACAATTGGTAGCTTAAAAAAATACTTTCTTATGGTTTAAGGGCATTGAGTTTTCTCCCCCACCGCTGACTTTCGGCGTGGAAATCTCAGTGGAGTCTGGTTTTTTTCCTTCCGACCGGCTTTGTACCTTGTGAATCCTACGCGCAGCGCCAAGAGTGACCTTCCATCCCGGCGACCTCCCTCGGTGGTCAATGTCCCAGTCGGTGGGGAGGCTCACTCCTTTCCTCCCAGCCCCGAGCAGCCACCCTCCCTCCAGGTCCCCGGGTGACAGATCCAGCCCTCTGGCAGTCTGTTCCTCAAATGGAGACTCAGTGCAGCCGGAAGCCAGAAGTGGGGCCACTGGAGGTGGGGCTGGGCAAGATGGGAGGTCTGATGGGACTGTCTTAAATAAATAAATCTTTTTATTACCATGTAAAAAATAAATGATATTTCCCTTTGGCAGTAAGTAGCTGATTCGACATTGAGCGTGAAAGTCATTCGCGTGTGTGTGATTGTTGTTGTTTGTTTAATGTTTGTTTTAAGAGACTGGACCACAGCTGCGTTTCTCGGTACCTCGCTGACGATGTAGACTGTTCCCACGGCTTTGGCGAACCTTTCGCAGAAGTGTTTGTGGCAGGCTGGGTGACTTCACTTGTGCCCCAGGTAGGCCCCCAGGGTGATGCACGCTCCAACCAGGACAAGACTGAGCAGGGTCTTCACGGACAGCCAGGAGAAATCAAACAGTGGCCGCATGCTGGGGCCATACAGTTCCACAAAGGCGTCCTGGGGGGCGGGGAGGGCAGGAGGGAAGAGAAAACGTGGTTAGAGACAGAGCACAAAATGCCATCTGACCCCAAGGGGATGCACCAGGCCTTGGCCTCAAGGTCACCACCATCAGAAGGGCAGAGGAAAGGTAGCCGCTCTTGCTGGAGCAGGTTCAGGACCCACCACCATTCATTTAAAGAACAGTGGTGGAACGCTTGATGCAGTGGTTCTCAACCTTCCTCATGTTGCGACCCTTTAATACAGTTCCTCATGTTGTGGTGTGCCCCCCAACCATAAAATTATTCTTGTTGCTACTTCATCACTGTCATTTTGCTACTGTTAGGAATTGGGCAACCCCTGTGAAAGCATTGTTCCACCCCCAGAGGGGTTGTGATGCACAGGTTGAGTGAGAATCGCTGCTTAATGGATACAGAGCTTCGGAGGGGAGAAGGTTTTGGAAGTAGAGAATTGGTGATGGTTACACACGCAACATGGTGAATGGAATTGGTGCCACAAGGTTGGCAGTTTGAAACCACCAGTGGCTCTGAGGGAGAGAGATGAGGCTTTCTACTCTTATAAAGAGTTCTAGTCTTAGAAATCCACAGAAGCAGGTCTACCCTGTCCTGTAGGGTCTCTGTGAGGCTGCGATACTCAATAGCAGTAAGTCTGGCTTGGTTTTGGTTTATTGGCAGTGATTACTGCCAGCAGCCCTCAGGGTTAAACACTGGCTACTAACTTAAAGGTCACCAATCCAAACCCACCGGCTGCTTCTCTAGACAAAGTCCTGGTGATCCACTTCCATAAACATTTACCGCCTTGTGAACCCCATGAGGCGGTGCTACTCTGCCCATTAGGATCCCACTATGAGTTGGACTTGGCTTTAAGGAGATGGGTTTTTGGTTTGGACTGGCAGTTAAGGGACCGGGTTTCATCTCTGTATCAAGGGCTCAGGAGGAACCAGGATAGCCTTAGGAGCGTGGGTGGGGCAAGTCTGCTTCTTACAAACCTCTGGGGGCCAGGCAGGCAACATTCCAACAGCCCTGACTGCTTGATGCTTTGGGACCCTGAGTTCCTTTAGCTGCCTGGGGTGCTCTCTGTAGAATAGAACCTCGACTCTGAGCCAAGTCCTTCTGGACATGGGGTCATCTCAAAGAAGTGGGGCAAAAAGGGATAGGTTCTATTGGCATGCCTCCCAGTTTACCTGGTGTCCAGCACTGGAGAGGGTGGGGGCACTGCCTCCCCACACATCCCTTTCTCTCCCGAGCTGGTGGAATTTCCTCTCGTGGCTTCCACCCCACTGCTGCGTATACCTCTAACAGACCTTCTGAGCCATCCCTGTGTGCAAAATAAGGTATCCCTTCTAGAGCTGGATCTAGCATCTAGTGACCGAGCAAGGGGCACCGTGTTCTTGAACAGGCACTGCAACTTGTGGGAGACGGTCTGCGTGAAATTCCTGCCTGGCAATTTATTAGCTGGTGACCTTGAACAAACTACCCCACCCCGAGTGTCTTTTACTTCATCCATAAAACTGGTTGTTTGGGAAGATGAAAGTCAAAAACACCCATCAGTGTGGTTCGGAATATGAAACAGAGGAAGAAGGAGCAAGCTGTAGTGAGTGCTCCCCCTTCCAGCGCTGTCAGGAAGCCCACCTGTCCCCGCCCAGAGGTCCCAGTGAGCCTGATAAGATACAGAGGCAATTTCCCAACTCCCTCCGAAGAGGCGGCTTTCGGTTCTGAAAGGGGATAAAGATTCCTATGGAAATTGTGCATTAAGGTGTATGCATTACATGTCCTAATGCAAGACGGGAAATAATACCAGGGGTCCTGCCACTCAATTCCCCACCGGACCATCGGTTCCTAGGCTGGGGATGCTGCCCTTGGCCCACCGAACCCACAGGCACCTTCCTGTTGAAGAGGGAGGCTGCGTCTGGTACCTAGGCTTTGCTCATGGACGATCCCAAAGCACACCCTGTGGCCTGTGGACGGGACATCTTCCAAGTCCCTGCTGTGGGAGATACGACCAGCTTTGTCAAACATCCTGGTGAGGGTGATGTCTCAAGGCTTTCTGAGCAGTCTGTCACTGTTTGTTTAAGTTTAAAGCCCGTTTTAAACAAACACGTGCTCTTTGTACATATTCAAACAAAGAGGGGAAAGAAAACCTGGGACATGATCACATGATTCCGACGCACTCCCAAGCTGTTATCTCTAGCTCTCAGTCCGGGGGGTGGAGCGGCTTCCTCCAACCCACAGTCAATCCAAGAGAGAAAGATGAGGTGTTTTGTTCTTCTGAAGAAAGATGTACAATCTCAGAAACAGAGGGGTGATTCTGCTTTGTCATCTCTGCCAGGCCTCGAAGTGGATGAGGGCCACTCGCTGCCTTTCCCAGCAGATGGAGTCTGAGCCCTGGCAGGGGGTTTTCACAGAGCTGCTCTACCAACCGCCAGGGTCACAGGCCCCAGCTGGTGCTTGTGCCACCAGAGTGGGCACAGGAGTAGAGAAGGGCCAAGCCCCTGACCTACCGCCTTGTTGCAGGAGGTGTGGGCTGAAACAGAACGCGCCAAGACTCCCTAGCAGGCGTGTCATCCAAGGGTCCTCATCCCTTCTGTGTCGTGACCAGTGTGCGACAACTCTCGTCCCCTCCATCAGCCTGTCTGGCTCACCCCCTTCTCTTATACACACACACACACACACACACACACACACACACACACACACACACACCCCTCAGGCTTTTGTCCACCCTACACACACACACACACACACACAGTTCTATTGGCATGCCTCCCAGTT